GGCCAAACCCAAAAATAATACAACGAAACAAGATACAAAACAACAGAAAACGAAACACAACAAAATACATAATGTAACAGAAATAAAATAGACAATGCAAAATAACATAATAAAATCAATCACAAAGGGCGGGCCAAATGTGCAAGATGAAATGTTTAAAAAGATTATCTGCTTTGAACTGGATTATATGCGTCTCCACTGCCAGATAATCTGGGATGAGATCCTGGGATGCGGGGCAGTGTAGATTCATCCTGAAACCCCTTCTGCATTGCCATATTAAATCCAGATTATCTGATCCGAACTGGATTAAATGGCAGTGTGGACTCCGGTTCAAAGCAAATCATGTGGATTATCTGCTTTGATAATCTGGATTGTATGGCAGTACATAATTGGCCTAAAAGTCAACTCTATTAATCCTGGATTAATTGGGTTTCCATATTTTTAGTGCAGAAGTTGACCTTTAATTATAAGGGAGACCTTTGTTTACCTTTCCTGCAACACACGTTGCAATGTTTTGGGTTATGGACAAGGGCATGTTGGTCTGGACGCTGGCCTTGGACCTGCTCATAGCCACAGGTCACACTCTCTCAGCCCCAAAAGAAGGGTTCAGTTACTCATATTATGCCTCAGTTATAGTTATAGTAGATGAATAGGTACCACTCCGGTGGGAAGGTAACGGCACTCCATGCAGTCATGCTGACCACATGACCTTGGAAGTGTCTATGGACAACGCCGGCTCTTCGGCTTAGAAACAGAGATGAGCACCATCCCCCAGAGTCGGTCACGACTGGACTTAATGTTAGGGGACAACCTTTACCTATAGTTGGGAATCCAAACCACCTGAAAAGTAACTTCCCCAGACTTTGATCCCTCTTTGATGGCGGCCTAACCTTGTGCACCTTGAACTCAGGTCTCTGCAGGACTCTGAAGATGGCCTCGCTGTATATGGAGGAGAACATTTACAACCTGCTGCCAACCCCGGAAGAGAAGAGGCCCGTCCAAACCAAGCAGCGCAGGTATTTCGGGAAGGGGAGGGAGAACACAAAGGGGATGACAGGGAGAAAGGGGAGGACAGGGGAATGGAGGTCTCCCCAAACATTGACCTTTCCTCCCCCTGAAACATCCATTCCCATCAAGCACCATGATCCAGATCTCCACAGAGGACTCAGGTGTGCTCACCTGTTCCAATGAAGGTGTGCTCACCTGTCCCAGTGAAGGTGTGCTAACCTGTCCCAATGAAGGTGTGCTCACCTGTCCCAATGAAGGTGTGCTCACCTGTCCCAATGAAGGTCTGCTCACCTGTCCCAATGAAGGTCTGCTCACCTGTCCCAATGAAGGTGTGCTCACCTGTCCAAGTGAAGGTATGCTCACCTG